AATTTGTAATAAAAAGTTTCTCCCGTGGTGTAATGTTCTCTTTGGCAGCTATGAACATGTACTCAAAATGTGGACGTAAACAACTTATGGATAAAAATAAATTATGTGTTCTATCATTTAAAGAGGAAAGGCTTACCTTTCAATCCTTGATGACTGCAAAGGAAAAAGTCTGAATGCACTGGATGGACAATGCCAGTGTCCACAACAGTTCCAGGTGGTACATTTCCTTCCTTCCCGACTCCATCTTTGAAATCTTCTGGCCTGAAACGGACATGATGTCGCTTTTGAACTGTGATAAACGTAATAGCTGGTTGATACCCCTCTTGTATTTCGACGCAAGCTTCTCGAATAGCATTTACTTCTTTTTTCTTAATGTCTTGAAACTGGGTATCACTAACGCCATCTCTGAAAAAAATTATTTTCTCAGGCTTTTGTCCTTTTGTGTGAGCGTAAAAAGCTTTCAGCAAAGTTTTTACCATATCCTTCAGCTCAAGAATATTCTCGACCGATTTCTTTTTCAATTTTTCATTCTTCTGCAATCTGCATATGACAGCAAAACGCGACAACAGCATATCAAGACTTGCCGTTAACGATGCTACGGATACTCCAGTTTTATCTGTAATGCCGGCATGGCAAACATCAGCACCCATTATAATAACAGGCTTAGCCATTATTTGTGGGATTTCCCTTTGCGTTAAAATGTGATTAATTCCTCCCATTTTCGCATTGATTTTTATGCACAGGTTACTCAAAACGGAAGCATTGCACTTCTTTGCATTGTTGCTATCTATGCATTGTGTTAGAAGACCAAGTTCGATTTCAGCCACTTGTTTTACGTTATTGTATAAAAATTTATCTTTATTTGGAATCAGCACAACCGTTAATTGAACCCGCTTTCTCTGGAGGCATTTTAATTCTTCCTTGGCATTGTGTATTTTTTCATAATCATCATAACCACGTAATATTTTAATTGAATCGGGATTTCCCATATTCAAACCAGCGTTTTTACCTATTATCTTCAATTCTTGCGAAAAACGTTCTAAATCTCTATAGCCACACCATTTCTCCGGTGCTAAGCTGAGTAAGGCCCAAGTAGATATATGTGCTCCATCATAGAATTCCAGGCCTTTAATGTTCCAAGATCCCGTGGCCGGTTTAACAGTTCTATTTTTGTTATAATTAAGCGTAGGAGCCTCCAGTACACGCCCATTTACACTAATGGCTTTGTCCTCTACTTTAACACCAAAGTTATTCAAATATTTATCATTATTATAATCAGCCCATCTATTTCTTATGTCTGATATCTTATTAAATTTTTTCACGGGTGGATCAGCAGTATATTGAATCATTTGTCTCTTATCTTCAATAGATAATTCCTTTTTACTGTGTTCTCCTTCAGGAATAATGCATAGCTCCAAAGGTAAATATATTCTTCTCTTTTTAGGCTTTACTTGTACACAAGGCAGATGAGGATATGCCAAGTTGATATTATGTGTATCACGAAAGTATTGTAAGACTGAAACAATTTCCGTTCCACCAGATTTTGTTTCGATTTCAAATTTTAAACTTCGAGCGCTTTGCATAGTCACATCAATGATGCAACGTCTAGCTTTATAGCCCAGATGACCAGTTTCGATTTTCACATTTTTCAATTCGCCAGCCAATCTTTCAATTGCTGTTTCTGATAATTCATGTCTGATGTCGTAGGATTTGCCAACGTATTCTATCAAATTTTGTTTGTTGAAAAACGTTGTAGCACTTGTGTTCAAATTGACAGTCAGGTTCCATTGTCCCAAACGTGTACTTTGGTGATAACCAAACCAAATTTGAATGCCTCCACTAAGAGGGTGCATTCCTCCAATATCAGGATGGTAAAAATTTCGTCCGATTGGAACGTACCTTAAGGAAGGCGTATGTCGGAATACAGTTTCAAGAGCAACCAGTGCTTCTTGGACGTCGTCAACATCGGACAACTTCCCTTGATAAAGTTCATGCAAAACAGATAAGTTTATGGCGCAGCTGTTTTCTTCCATACCATTTTTCTTTTGAACTGGATTCATTACAACTAAAAAACCTCTCTTCTCCTCAGGGTTTTTGTTTTCGTTTTCCAGGAAAACTTTTGTTTCATATGGAAATTTCACTTGTAAGGGAGATGGAGCGTATAAATTATATTTACCGTCATAAACAGCATAAGAATTGCGGAGATGAGTATTGTTAGCCAACATGTTTTCAATAACCTCACGATTGAGTCTTGTATTCTTGACACCATATTTTTTATTTTTTTCAGTTTCATCATCCAAATCGGTTGCTTCATCAATTTTCCATTTAATTATTTTCACATCATAATGAAATATCTTTCCATCGGGCAGTAAAGAAATCGTGTACAAATTAGAAACCAATCTGATTCTTCTTCCCAGAATACCAGGAGGTAGTTTGGGTGGTAGTCCCCTGGTAATTTGCCTCCCGTTGGAAATGTCATCCCTGGATTTTTCATCATTAGTGGCATCAGCAGTTTCTGATTGGGCTGCTGATATCGTAGAAGACCTAGGAACTGTAACATTACCTGAGGTCTTTGTTGAAACGGGAACTTCAACAACGCCTTTTGATGAAGAAGTTCTCAAATTATCGTCAGCTTGCCTTTCATTTTTCTTTGAACTAGATATTTTAGTATCATTATTCAAATCAGCTGGTTGTCTGGTGTTTTTATCATTAGGTTTGGGAGAATGACCTGGAAAGTAAATTTTGATTAATTTGTGTCAAAATTCATAAAGTGCTACATAAAAACTTAAAAATAAATATATATATTTTTAAACTGCAGTCCCTGACAAATTATTACAAGCACTATAAGATTCCATCTAAAATCTTAATTATTAGATGATACTATATATCTTTATTGTTTTTTACGCGACTGAAACCGGTTTGGACTAGTTCACGTTCGAGTATCAATTGGTTAAATTAGACGATTTATAATATAAATTAGACGATATCTTAAAAGCACACAACTAAAACTAACAAAAAAGCACACAACTAAAACAAATATATGAGAGCGCTATGCTATTTATAAAATAATTTCAGCAAAACACAAATACATTTTGATAATAGTGTACTCTTTCAAGTTACTTGCATTCAAATCCAGAATCTATATATATATTTCTCTTGCACGGTGACAAAAAAAAGCCTCATTACAGCTCCCTGAATGGCAACACTAGAAAATCGATCAATGATTGCCGCTAAAAATGTCACATGCCAGATCTAGCTGAGGTGGCTCAACATATAGATTTTTAAAAACGGAAACTGAAATAACCTTAATCTAGGCAGAAGTGAGTAGTCCTTGTCGATAGATCTCTATTTCAGTATTTTGTCGAAAGCGCTTTTTTTTCACGAATTTATTTGAAGATTTTTGATTTATATCACGAATTTATTTGTTTTATTTTTGTTATTAGTTATTCATTGAAAAATGAGTCTCAGTCGTGCTGTTACGCTATAAGATTTTATTCTATAGCACATTTCTAATAGGTTTAACGAATTACATGTCATTTATTTGAATTCAAATTTATTTTAATGACTTAGTATTTACTAAAAAGATGTAATTTTTTTTTAAGAAAAAGTTGTTATATGGATTTGAATGATTGTTTTGAATTCTTAGAATTTTGTGTATTTGCAATGTACCTAAGTTAGTAGCAAGCGAAGCGAGCTTGGTTTGCGAAGCCAACCATATAAGATTGCGTAGCAATCTTCGAGGGTTGGCGAGCAGGGGGCGCAGCCCACTAGTATTATATGATATTTCAAAAGTGCTTAGTAATGAAATCAAGTTTGATAAAAATGGATTTGTACCTGATATAAGTTAATAATTTAAAAAAAAAAAAAAAGTTTTGTTGCACATATAATTTTATATTTTCCATAAATATATACGTGTCCTCAAATTGCATAATTTTTCCAGGTTTACACCGCTGATTTGTCTTCAAATCATGGTTTAAAAATTTGGTCACCTTACCTAAATTAATGCTGCGAGCTACGAGCACTTTTCACCACAGGCACCGATGCCTTTAACTCTTACATTTCAGGATTCATGTTTCGAAAATTATCCATTTTTGGATTTAGTATCAATGAGAACTTATGTTCGTAATGTTTTGAACTACAGCATATTTTAATATATAAGTTTTTAGCCAATTATATTATAAGTCAAAAATTAAGTTATTATAGACTATAAGTTTTTAGCCCATTCGACAGAGAATTAATTTTCATAAGATTTGTGCCGGGTCCTTTATTGAATCTGGCTCCTATTGCCTTTTAAGTCCCAATTTAATTATTTTTAGTAACAATTTTATCGTTGCTACAATTTGTAAATTTATGCTTGTTTTAACATTAGCCTATGAAAAGTCTCGAAAAGTGGCTTATATAAGTAGAACACCTATGCAGAGTAGTCACATTTGAGAAAATTTTTAAAAACTGGTAAAAAGATGCAGGGAATAATACGTTCCATCTAATTACTATCTTTCAACAATATTTGTAAACTAAATATATGTTTTACAACTGATTTCCTAAAATTGAAGAGGAATTAAAGGTTTTTAAATTTACGATCATCTTATTAATTAAAATATTTGCCACCAGTTCTTAACTTTTTTCCATACTGGGGACACCTTGCAATTATGAAGAAAGTAGTATTACATAGTTGTATATGCAATGTTGATATTTCTTTATTTTGCCATTTCATTTTTATTGAAAGCATTGTGATTTGTTTTCAGATATAAATATAAATGTTTATATTATATTAATATTATAGCAGAAACAATATTTTCATAAAATAATAATACATTTATAGTTTTAATTTAAAAATTTTTATAATAAATTTGTAAATTATTATAAATTTATGTAATATTAATTGTAAATAATATTATTATTAGCATTATTATTAATATATATGTATATATTTATAATATTATAATTAATATTTATATAGTAGACAAATGAAATGGCAATATGAATCGTAATAATGGAAGAATTGTGCTACCACTTTTTTAGAAAAAAGAACCATAATTATATAAAAATGCTGAATAGTTATATAAATTTCTAATAAAATAGTTTCCTTCGTTTAAACTGTTAAATACACTATATCTACATACTTGATGCCTGCAGATATGAAGGGTGGCCAACAGGATAGTTTTGATTCATTCCTAAAAAGTTAAAAGAAAAAATTAACAAAGCATTAATTTTTTTCCTTCAAATTTTAATATAAGGGAAAGAAATGTGTCTAACTCTTCCGTTTTCAGCTTTGAAAACAGTAAAATATTAGTGACTGCTCAACTGCAATTGTTATTTTTGAAAACTGAATAATTAATACTTTCATAATAATAATTTAATTTAAAAGAATTAAGAACATTTTCATACCTTTGCGATTTGTTTTAGCCATATTATTTTCTTGCTTGTAATTCGTAGTGTCAACCTTTAATAGAAAAATAGAATAAAATAAATGATTGATAAACATAATTTAACATAATCTACGCGAACTCTTAGCGTATATAGCGTTTTTAAACTTGTACACTTTGACAAAAAATAGTCTAAAAATGTCATTTAAAAAAATATCAGTAGCTCTAGGAGCCAAACTAATTTCAGTAACACTTGAGTTAGGCAATATCAAGTATGTATTTGTATAAATACAAAAAAAAAAAAAAAAAAAAAAAAAAAAAAAAAAAAAAAAAAAATTGTTCTCCCAGAGTGTTTTTTTTTTGTGAATCGTCATTCTTAATGTCTGTTTAAACAAATTGAATGCATTTTTTTTTAGAATCCCAAGTATAAGAAATATTTTTAATGGAGTAATAAACGTCAACTTATAAACTTGAGCATATTATGGAATTGTATACGTTAAATGCAATCTATTTATAAATGGAATACCAACAATCACCATCATAATGAAATTAATAAATAAAAAAAACAATCTTTTTTTTTTTATTACAGAAAGAATTTTTTCAACTCTTTAGGTAAGAGAGAATATTCATGAATTAATTTTCATCATGAATTAATAAATTAATCATGAATTAATAAATTAATTTTCATCATAGTTTCGTAATTCATCGTAATTTTTATTATTACATTATCCCAATGATATGAATTTGTTTAAACATTCGTTTTGGAATATCAAGCAAAAAATGTTAAAACAAATTATGTAGAATTGGTTATAAAATTCTAAATATTATACGGAAAAATTCAACTAAATATACATATTAACTTCACCATTAAAGTTAAATAAAACTTATAATTAATATCATAAATTAATATCATATTTTAAATTAAACTTCTCAACTTATAAAATCTTGATTTAATCATGTAATGATAATTTGGTGAAATAAATGTATTTAAAGACATTGTCAAACATTTGTTGAAAAGATGAATTTTATTAGTTGAAATTATGAATTTTATTTTTTATAACATTGAATTTTATTTTTTAAAATACTAAAATATGACTTTAAAGGGAAAATAACAAAAATAAAGGAACTAAATTTAGATTAATACATTACAAATTTTATGATGCGTTTTTTTTTAAAAATAGAGCTTGTATTTAAAGAAATTGGTAACGAATGTCACAAAACATTAAAATAATTTAACGTTCAACATCACTTTTTAAAAGCATTAAAGTTAAAATTAAATTTTATAAATCCTTATGTTTAGCTCTTGCATAAATTCAATGATTACAGATTTAAGTTAAAAATTCATATCCTTTGCTAAAGTTCGAAACAACCGCTTAACCTTTTGACGCAGAATTTATATTAGACATCTTTTTCAAACCTTTTTCATTATTTTGTATTAATTTAGGTCAAAATAAAAGAAAAATATTGTAATTAGCATTTTAATAATTTATGGTTAGAAATACTACATGAAACACCGATGACTTTTTTTTTGTTAAAGATAAAATCTTCCAAACACGGCTCACATCTAAACAATATACATATACTTTTTTAATTTGCTTTTATTTGCAGTTATTTCAATCTAAGAGAAACAGTCATTCGTCATTGAAATTTCTTTAATTTGCAAAATCGATTATTGATGAATTTTTGAATATGAATGACATTTTTTTCAATTATATTTTTTGAATTTTATTTTTAATGCAAGCATTATTCAGATCATTTAACAGAATTTTTTAGTAACTATCAGACTGTTTTTTTTTTCATATTTTAAAAATATACCAAAATAAAACCATCCCTGTATTTAAAGAGTCAGAAAAAATGTAAATAAAAGTGACAACGGTGTCCTATTTGCGTCAACGGGTTAAGTAAATAAAATTGTTAATTTAAAACAAATTGGCTCAAACAGATGTAATTAAAGTGTCAGAAAAAATATAAATAAAAGGGACACCGGTGTCCTATTTGCGTCAACGGGTTAAGTAAATAAAAATGGTAATTTAAAACACATTGGCTTAAACAGATGTAATTAGAGTGCCAGAAAAATAAAAGGGACACAAGTGTCCTATTTGCGTCAACGGGTTTAGTAAATAAAAATTTTCTAAAACACATTGGCTCAAACTGAAACATAATAAACTAAAATACTTACTGCGTAAGAAAAACTCTGTCAGACGGTTATCCTTTATATTTTTACAGAAGAAAAGGTTACGCTCATTAAAATTGTACCGACTGGGAACCACGAAATCAATATTACTTCGTTTCTCAAACATTCCAAATGAAATCAAATCTTTATCTCTGTTAAAAGAACTGATACAATCGAGATTTTATAGAAAGAAGAAAACGGAAAGCGAAACTAATGATGAAATAACGGAAACTGAAACCGAAATATGAAAATGCCATGTTAATAATGCGTGATAGGTGGATAACAGAATGACGTCAAAGGCGTGTGACTTCGGAGGAGTTGACGGAATTGTCTGTGAATTTATTTTTGTGGTCGTGCACGGATGAGTAAAATTCAGGTTCAAGTTCTTGTACTATTCATTAATAGCTGCGAATTCTCCAAGTATATATATATATATA